TTTTTTTTTTTACAGCAATGGAGAAGGGAACGAGAACACGGATAAATTTCTAGAACCAAAATTACCCAGGCATAGGTTATATGCACATTTTGAAAACTGATAGCTATCGCCAAGTTGCCAACCAAAATATTTACACGAATTTGATGTGCACACATCTCAACTACCTTAGGATTATCAGCCATGTAAACTGTATGATCTAATAGGAAAAATTTGTTGGGTGAATGTTTGTGTCCCCCTCCTAAATTCATATATTGAAATCCTGCCCCTTAATGTGGTAATATTAGAAGGTGGGGCTTTGGGTCCAGAACTTGATGGTAAGACTCTGTTGCTGAAGACAACACATACTTGAATCATAAAATATGGAGGAATCAAGTTGGGACTGACCTGGAAGCTTCATCCCTAAGAGCTAGTTTTCAGTGCTGGAGGGTACTATACATGCTACCAGAGGAGAAAAATAATCATCAATTGTATCCAGTTGTGAACCCAGTGAACTACAATAATTACTGTCCTGGCAATCTATGCCCACTAGTACAACGGAGGCTTACATTTATTGGAGCAACCAACTACCCTCAGATTGGATTTAAGACTGCTCCACAAGATGAAACCCATACTTGGCACTATTATTGGGGTCAAGAACCTGTGGTCATGAGCCCTAGGGGAGAACCTGTTACTAATATTCTACTAAATGGACATAGTATTAAACAGGCTCCTAATGATTTTTGCCCCATAGATTAGGGCATCTGTCAACCTTCATCAGAGAAGCTTCCTCTTGCAGTAGAAGGCAATTATCACAGAGACTCCCTACTAGTCAATGTGCAGAGAATGAGACTTTGGAGTGCACAGCTCTAAATGGGACATCTATATCACGTCCCTCCCCCAAGGCTCAGGAGTCTTCACCAAAGAGGAGGCTGGAAAGATTGTAATAGCCAGAGGTGGTAGATGACTACAAGGAAACAATGTTTCCCATGCAGTAGGGCAGTTGCATATATGAACTCATAACAACTGTGACAGCAGGCACAAGACCTGCTCAAGCTCAAGCAGACAAAATCCCAGCATGGAGGGAAGAGATGGGCACTAAGCTCCACACTTAACTAAAGAGTTATTGGCATTTGATAGCTACTGGAAGAGTAAGAGTCAGTTTTCTTTAAGAGTGTGGCCCCTGCTAGGTTGACCAATGCGCCAGGGCAAGTTCCACACTCAGGAGTTTGGGCAACACAAATTGAACTCAATGAGAAAAAGAGAACAGAAAGTTGGACGGGTAAGGGAGGTTGGGGTGGATCTGAGAGAAGTTGGGGGAAGGAGGAATATGGTCAAAGTATGCTGTATGAAACCCCCAAAGAATTAATAAAGAAAATTTTTTTTAAAAGAAAGTGGGCCTGGGCTTGGTGGAGCATGCCTTTAGTCCCAGCACTCAGGAGATAGCGGCAGACAGATCTCTGTGAGACCAAGGCCAAACTGGTCTACAAGGTGAGTTCCAGGTCAGCTGGGGCTACAGGAAGACCCTGTCTTTAAAAAACAAAACAATAGTGGGGCTTTGGGTGGTCTTAATGAGGGTGGAGCCCCCAGGAATAGGACAGCTGCCTTACCTCTTTCTACCTTGTGAGATCACCAGAAACTGGCAGTGTGCAGCCCCCACGCACATCCTCCCACGCTTCCACCTCTGCTGGCAGCCTGATGTCAGACTTCCAGCTGCAGAGCTACCAGTAGTTAGTTTGTCTTGTTTGTAATCCACTCAGCATGTGGCTTTCCGTTTTAGCAGACTGAGTAGAAAGCAGTAAATCTTCTTTTGAAACACTGTAGCAGTCAACGAGGATGCCAGAGGAGTAGAACCCCAAACTCTACACAATAAAGTATGTATCCAGACTTGGGCTGAAGCAAATTAGGAGTCAGGGGTAAGCATGTGAAAATATCTTGCCTTAGACTTCTTGAGATCAGTTCCTCCTAAAGGAAAGTCCCTAAGTCCCAGTTAAATTTGTCTGCTCTCAGTTGTCCCAATAATTTGCAAAGCACACAAGAAATGAGAGTCACAGGAGAGCTAGTCATGTTCCCATCATGGTCACCTAGGGGCAAACGTACCAGCAAGCAGCTTTGGGTCCCCATTCATCACCAAACTAAAACATTGCCACCCTGTTAGTAAGCTTTGCAGATTCTAACCTAGAGCTGTGCCTTGTGAGGACAAACAAAACAACAGCTCTATTTTCTGGCCTACTTGTGGCCTCTTTTGCAAAACAAGAGTAAGATGACAATCTGTTTTAGGGACAGGTTCTTATCACGTCTTGCATGTATGAGTGCTCGATTTACTATTGAGATCAATTTACTATTGCTCAATTTACTAATGTTTTTTTTCTTACTTTTTTTTCTTACTATTTTAAAACTTTTCATTGGTGTCTTCGTTCTTTACTTATTTAGCTGAAATGCTAAAGTACTGTGAGGCTTCTGAAACTAGCCAGTGGTTAGTCTAAGAATTTTAAGAATCAATAGAAGTTGACTGAAAAACAAAGCAGGGGTCCAGTGAGGCACCTACAGATGAACTTCAGGCACTGCTTCCTTAATGTGGAGACAAGGGAGATGTGATGGAGAGGGGGTATTGTTATAGAGTGTCTGTGGTTTTCATTTCTTTTATTCATTACTTTGATCAAATGATATGTGTATAGGTTACTATTCAAACAGTTTTGAAATTTTTATTTTTATTTAACGTATATGAATGTATTGCCTATATATATGTATTTGTAAGTGCACCTGTGTAATGTACTGCCCATGGTGATCAAAAGAGGGTATTGGATCCCATGGAATTGGAATTATGAATGCTTGTTAGCCATTAATGAATGGTAGGAATCAAACCTGAATCCTCTGCAAGAGCAGCCAGTGCTCTTAACTGCTGAGCCATCTCTCCAGTCCCTATTCAAATAGTTTTGCAAGGCTTGTATTATGATTTGATTGAGAAATGTCTCCCATAGGCTCATGTGTTTGAGTACTTGGTTCCCAGCTGGTGATGCTACTTAGGAAGGTTATGAACATTTAGGAGGTAGAGCCTTGTTGAAGGACGTATATCACTGCAGGTAGACTTTGAGGTTTTTGTAGCCTGGCCTTTCTCTCTCTCTCTCTCTCTCTCTCTCTCTCTCCCCTCTCTCTCTCTCTCCCCCCTTCCTTCCTGTATATGAATTAAATGTCATCAGTTTCCTTCTAGACAGCCAGGTTGGCCTCATACTCCTGCTCCCAGACCTTCCCCACCATGGTAGATTGTATCCTCTTTGGATCTGTAAGCCAAAATAAACCCTTTCTTCCATAACTTGATTTTTGTCAGG